TCTAAAAAAAAAAGAACAGAACATTAACAGCAACCTGCTCACCCCATAAGCTTCTTTTCAGACACTATTCCAAATAAGGGTAACCGATTCCTTCCCTGACTTCCAACACCATATATTAGTTTTGCCTGCTGTTGGCATTTATATTTATGGAATCATACCATATGTACTACTTTGTATCTTGCTTTGTTTACTCAACATTATATGTGAGAATATCCATATTGCTGTAATTATTGAGTTAATTAATTCTCATTGCTATACAATATTCTGTTAAGTGACAATGTCAATATATATGTAAAATTATAGTTTTTAATTATGGTAAAATACACATAACATAAAATTGACCATCTTAAACATTTTTTTAATTTATCTTTTAGAGACAGATTCTCACTATGTTGCCCAGGCTGGAACACAGTGGCTATTCACATGAGTGACCATAATGCACTGCAGACTCTAACTACTGGCCTCAAGCAATACTCCTGCCTCAGCCTCCCAAGTAGCTGGAATCACAGTAGCTGTGCCACTGTGCCTAGCTCTATGACCATCTTAAACATTTTTAGGTATACAGTTCAGTAGTATTAAATATATTTGCATTGTTGTGCAACCATCACCACCATCCATCTCCAGAACTCTTTCCATCTTGCAAAACTGACACTGTACCTACTAAACAATAGCTCCCAATACTCCCCTACCTCCAGCCCCTAGAACCACCATTTTACTATTTCTATGAATTTGACTACTCCAGGTACCTCACATAAGTAGAACCATACAGTATTTGCCTTTTTGTGACTAGCTTATTTCAATTAGCATAATGTCAGATTTCTTTCCTTTTTAAACTTGAGTAATATTTCATTGTATTCACTTGTATTAATTTTATCCTTCAAACATAAGCTACTTAAGGGTAGACGCTATATTTTATGCTTCTCTTTTACTCCCCATATATCACAGTGGTAAATACATAATATAGGTCTTCAGTTACATTTTGATTAATATACTGTAATAGTAAAAAGCAGAGATGAATATTCAAAAAATTCCATTTTGCTATAATATGTGATAATTTTACATCAGATTTATTTACATAATCACATTTTGCTTGATTAAATATTAAAATTAATTTACATACCCAAGCATGTTCTGTCTGAGTGGTTGGGGGAAAATCTGGAATTTTTAAATATGCAATAATAAAAGCTAAAACTTATATAACCAAACATTGTTCGAAACACTTTACATATGGCTCATGGGTACAAGCCTATGAGATAGATATTATTATACAAATTATACATAAATTAATTCACTGAGACATTAATCATGTGCCCAATACATAATCTACTCTAATGGAGGGTAGACTATTATAATTTTATAACAATAACATAAACTGTATTTCTTCAACCTACTTCTGCAATATGTAACATGATCCTTACCAGCATTTCTGGCCCAACAGAATTCTTATCCATCTTCCCAATATCATAGCTTTGGCTACCATTAAAAAGGAAAAATATATGTGTGTATATATATTCATTTTAAATCATATATAATTTTTCAAGATTATATATTACTAAGAAGACATAGTATAATAATATTTTATTGCAACTATTCTATTTTACACTACAACAGATAATTAGCCAATTAATATATGAAAATTAATCATATAAAGCAATACTTTCTAACCATACAAAACCACAATTTCTACAGGAGATACCCAATAAATCAACACTATAATTATATCAATGCTGTTTTCCATTTGGCTATATATATACTGCATTAAAATACTTTACAAGTGTATACAAGCTCTTACTAGGCCATTTTAAAGCTTACAAATATAAATGCATTTTTAAAATAAAACAAATACAACTATTTTCACAGAAATAAATGCTTTAGCAATGTTCATTTAAGCCTCACAACATCCTCATGAAGCACTGTTAGTTCCATTTTGCAGCTGAATGAACCAATGTAGTAATTAAATGATTTCTAAGATTTCCTAGGTTGGTATTAAAAATGAGAGTGAGGGGTTGGATAATAGAGAAATTTGACTTTCAGTTCTCTTCTTTAATTACTAAACCATATTATCTATGAGACATTAAGATAACCACAAATAATACATTAACATGAGTCTGAGTTTCAAAACCTAAAACTTAAAAAGCAAAGCAAAGATCACTCACCATAAAACTGGTATTCCAAGGGAGCATGTCAATAAAATCTTGGTTAACTGAACTAAATTGAAGACAATACTTTGAAATATCTCTTTTTAAAAAACTCTAGAAGACCCAGACTACCAAACTGAGTTTTCAGCTTGCTAACAAAGACATAATGATGGCCTAGTCTTTGTAAACCCTCTCACTCTCATAAAGGTCTCCTTTGTTACATTAAACCTTATACTTCTAGTTTTGAAAACAACCAATGAGTGGGTGGAACTTCTGCAATGGTGGTATAATGAGCTCTTTCGACCCTCTCCCCAGTGAAACAACTATTTGTCTGGAAAATTTATTAAAACAAACAACCACTTAAAATCTCTGGAAATTGTCCATACGGCATGTAGAAAATGGGGAAAGATTTATTCATGAAAATTAACTAAACCTCAGTATAACCAGCAAGAATCTGTGGCATTTGAGCCATAACCGGCTCCCATCCATACTGGCTCCATGTGATAAAAGCTACTCCAGATGGGTGCAGCCAAGAAGATGGGAATTCACTCTCCCTCCAGCTCCTAGACTCCTAGGCAATGGTTTCACCTTGGGAGGAGCAGGCTGCCAGTCTCTCTCTTACCATTCCCAGGCCTGCGTCATAAAAGTGTTATTCTGCGCAGGCACACTGGGACCCTGATCACCTTCACCTCAGCTGACTCATCAGGCAGAGGTTCCATGCCAAAAGGACAACATAAGAAAACGAGGGGCTACCATACCCCCAGCATCCACTTAATAGAGCAGGAGTGTCATTTCAGGAGAAGCATGCCATGCTGCCTGCTCCCAGATCCAGTCATATGACATAGAGGTTCTGCCCAGGGGGAAAGACAAGCAGCAAAGAAGAACTCCACATCTCTTCCTAAGAGTATTGATGTTATGTGGAACAGAGCATAGAGGAGTTCATGCCTAAGGACTTGTTGAAAGCAATGGAGATCTTGGTGGTGAGCAATTAAGAGGGATCTGGTAGCTCCATGATAATAGTAGCAACAGGGGAAACTGCAGACCAGCCAGAAGGTTACTAGAGTGAACAAGGGAAAGAAATAGCCAAGAAGAACACTCGGGGTCCAGGGTCCAGAAGGCCATGTATATGTGCTAGGCTACATTCACTTAGAGACAATCAGAGCAGACTAAAAAGCATTACTCAAGGCATACACAGATCCATCAGCAATGAGACTTGAACCTGACTGGCTCAAGGGGCTTAACCAGACCTCTGACCAAGGACCAACTGAAAATTAACCTAAGGCCCAGGGTGACTGTTGGGAAGCCAAGCTTAAAAATCAAACCAACCTTATGCCTACGGATCTGGGAGACTGTGTGCACGCAAAGACTGTGCTCTGTCAGGCACAAGCAGATGAAGAACCTATGAGCTACCAGTCCCTACCTGAATGCAAGGCAAAACCATAAACTCCCTGAACTGTGAAAAAAAAGTCTCTAAACAAACACACAGCCAACAGGACAGGGTGAAAAATCTAACTGGCTAAGTGGGCTTAAGCAAAATATTTGACCAATAAGTGAAATATTTGGATACAGGGGTGACCCCTAGGAAGCCATCAAAAGATAAAAACAAGTGGGAAAACTCTGACAGGGACACTGTAGGGAAAATAAATTTTACCAAATTAGTTCAGCCAAGTGACTAAACAAATAAAGAACCAAACAAACAATAAAATAATAAGCCCCAGAAAGGGGAGAAACAGTATCTAAGACTTGCTACAATATATTATCCAAAATGTCTAGTATTGAACAAAATATTACAAGACATACTATAAAACAGGAAAGTGTGACCCATACTGAAGAAAAAGAGAAGACAATAGAAACTTCCTTTGAGGAAGCCTAAATGTTGCACTTAGTAGAAAAAGACTTCAAAGCCGCTATTATAAATATATCCAAAGCATTAAGGAAAATCATGTTTAAAGAATTAAAGGAAAGTATGATAACAATGACTCATCATGTAGAGAATAAGAGTACATCAATTAAGAGATAGAAATTATATACAGTAGGGATAACCAAATTGAGGCCCCACCAGCCAAATCCACCCCCCACCCCAGCCTGTTTTAAGAGACAGAAATTATTAAAAAGAAACAAATAGAAATTCTGGAGTTGGAAAGTACAATAACTGAAAAGAAAAATTCAGTAGAGGGGCTCAATGGTGGATTTGAGCAGGCAAAACAAAGAATAAACAAACTTGAAGATAGATCAATAAAGATAATACAAATCTGAAGAATAAAACAGAAAAAAGAAAGAAACAAAATGAACAGATGCTCAGAGAAATGTGAGAAATCATTAAGCCCACCAACACATACATAATGGGAGTACCAGAACAAAAGAAGAGAAAGGCACGAATAAATATTTAAAGAAATAGTGGTCAAAAACGCCTCAAACTTGATGAAAAACAACAATCTACATATCAATGAAATTCAACAAGATAAACACTAAAGAAAACCACATGCAGACACATGATGGGCAAATTATTGAATATCAAAGATAAAGTCTTAAATGCAATAAGAGAAAAATGATTCCTCAAATAAAAAGGAGCAACAATAAAATTAATAGCTGAAACCTCATCAGAGCTCATAGAGTCCAGAAGGCAGGGATGATGTATTCAAAGTGCTTAAAGAAAAACCACTGTCAAATTAGAATCCTATCTCTAGAAAAACTATCTTTCAAAATTAAGGCTAAATAAATAGATTACCAGATAAACAAAAAGTGAGATAGTTTCTTGCTAGCCAATCTGCCTTACAAGAAAACCAAAAGGAGGCAACTTCATAAAAATCTATAAAAGTACATTTTGGGGCATAAGATATGTAATATATATTGGACAATAACAACACAAAGGAGTGAGTGGGAAAGAAATTATAATTTGAGTAAGGAGATTACACCAGATAGTAACTCAAATCTAAGGGAAGAAATGAAGTAAACCATAAGTGACTAGAAGGTTGAAATTTTAAAACTCTATACATAGTATTTGTGCTCTCCTTTTTTCTATAATCTTCTTTAAGATACATAAGATTTTGCAAAGCAATAATTATTACCATGTATTATTGAGTTTTTAAACATATACTAACATAATAAATATAATAATAACAATCCTAAAAAAGAGAAGGGAATGGAGCTATAAATAGGAGTAAAGTTTCCATATCTTACTGGAATAAAGTTACTATAAATCTGAAATAAATTCTAATGAATTAAGGTGTATTTTGCAAGTCCTAGAGTAACCACAAGGAAAATAATTCAAAGACTATATGATTTTAAAAATTGTTTAACAACTTAAAATGATATACTATGATGATTTACTTAAGACCAGGAATTGCACTTCCAGGTATATATCCAAAAGACTTGAAAGCAGGGACTCAAGCACTTACACACCAATGTTTATATCAGTATTATTCACAATAGCAAAAAGGTGGGAACAACCCAAGAATCCATCAACAGATGAATAGATAAACAAAATATGATATGTCTATGCAATGAACTATTATTCATCCATAAAAAGCAATGAAATTCTGATGCATGCTACAACATGGATAAACTATGAAAACATTGTGCTCAGTAAAACAAGCCAGGCACAAAAGACAAACATTGTGTGACTTCACTTACATGAAGTACCTAAAATATGCAAAGTCATAGATACAGAAAGTAAAATAGAGACTACCAGGGGCTGAGAGGAGGGGGAAATGGGGAGTTATTGTTTAATGAATACAGAGTTTCTGTTTCGGATGATGAAAAAATTCCACAAATGGATAGTGGTGGTGGTTATACACATTGTGAATATTGAATGATTCCACTTATATGAAATATCTAGAATAGACAAATTCATAGAGACAGAAAATAGATTACAGGTTAACAGGGGATGGGATAAAAGAAGGATGAGAAGTAAATGCTTAAAGGTTACAGAGTTTCTGTTTGGGGCAACAAAAACGTTTTGAAAATAGATACTGGTAATGATTGTACAAAATTGTGAATATAATTAATGCAATGGCATTGAACACTTAAAATGGTGAAAATGTTAAGTTTTGTTACATATATTTGATCACAATAAAAATAAATTCATTCATTTTTTTTAAAAGATCCACTTAAGACAAAAGGAGGTAGTAAGGGAGAAAAAGGGAAAAAAAGTAGTCATGAGACTACTTTTATAAAGTAGCTATAAAAATATCAGGCAAAATAGACTCCAAGACCAAAAAAAGTTACTAGAGATAAAGAGGGATATTTTATAATGATAAAAGGTCCAATCCACTAGGAAGGTAAAACAGTTATAAACATACATGCCCCAAAATACATGAAGCAAAAGCTGACAAA